CCTGGCATCACTAGTAGTAACAAGGACGCTACTAGTAGCTCCTGGCATCACTAGTAGTAACAAGAACGCTACTAGTAGCTCCTGGCATCACTAGTAGTAACAAGGACGCTACTAGTAGCTCCTGGCATCACTAGTAGTAACAAGAACGTGTCTGTTTCTCAAGTGCCGTAGGGACGGACGATCTCGCTCTTTTCCACGACATGCACGAGCAAGTAAAGGGGGGAACTAACACCAACAGCTGGAGCCATCATGCGATCGAATCAAAAGGTGGTAACCTGAGACAGCACCCCTAAGTTCTTGTTGATTCGACTCAAAAGAACGAACGATTCCTCCGTGGCTCCTAGCGATCGGTGCTTAGTGGACGCTCTTCTCGATCGTCCCTTTGCCGCTGGATCGTCCTTTCGAAGATCAAGCTCTTGCTTTTCGTCCCAAAGAGTGAGACGAGATGTCCTCAAAAGTTCCTCCAGAGCACCGTTGGTGCGGGTGATATCAGCTTTTGTCAGCCCATCCGCCACCATTCTTGGATGTGGTGCCCATCGAATGACACTCTTTGCCTTCTGAAGGGCTTCTAAAATTATGCTCAGCTCTACGGAGGTGCGTCTGTCCTGTCTAGACATGGGGGACTCCTTCTGCAAAGCATCAAACAAACTCTTGGCATCGGTGACATGGCATTGTTCTAACTTTTCCGCTAACTTGCAGTGCTCCTTCAAGACTGGGGCGTAAGGTGTCAAGGATTCAGTCCAATCCGTCCTTTTGACATCACCATTGACAATGTCTCTGATCATGATCTGAATCCATTCAACCTCACTCAACGACTGGTTGAAGGCCAAGGCCTCGCTAGCGAGAGTTGAAGCCACTCGACGTCGAAGCTTGGAAGATCTCCAGCTCAAAATGCTGACCTTGATTCCCTGGTTGGCGCTCGGAAGTCTGTCTGCTGCCATGATGATCCAAGCTCCCTGCACGTTATCGACTTCTGAGGACTTGTCAGGAGGCAAACTATCCACTCCCCCGGCATCGGAGGCGGCAATGAGGATCATCTTGTCGTTGCTGAAGCGATGCAAGGTAAATGATTGTTGGGCTGTGTTCCTCAGATGTTGAATGAGCTTGTTTAAGCAGCATACGTCTTCAACAGTTCCTTCCTTTAATCTGGAAGACAGAATGCTCACAACTCCTGCTGCCTCTGGTCGGGTTTGATGAGCAACCCAAGCCACTTTGTAAAGCATGGATCTGAAGGCCTCGAACTCGTCCGAATGCAGTCTGCTAGACTTGTCACTCCTGCGACCTAAAGGCAATCTCAAAGGATGAAGCTTCTCGATGATGTACTTCTCCTGGTTCATCTCAACTTTTCCTGGAAGAACTCCGACATGTCTTCCCGCGAAATCTGCTTCGTCATACTCCATTTTCCCAAAGCGAAAACGCTCTTTCAATGCTGAGAGAAGCTCATCTTTGATGTCCTTCTTGGCTGCCACATTCAGATCATCGACTTCAACTAAAATCATAGCTTCAACCTCACCACGGGTGTTTCTTCTGACATACCAACACGGCTCTAGGAGACTTCTTTCGAAACCCAGCTGGCGCAGAAAGTTGATGATTGTTTGATGCCACCTCAAGGGAGCATCCTCAAGCCCGTACACGGGAGCCACTAGCTGAATGATCGTCCCTTCCGGAAGACCCAACCCTTCACAGGCTTCGACATATAGTTCTCCTTCTGGCCTGTCAAGAGGTTCTGACTGGCAAAAAGCTTGAGTCACATCGCAGAAGGTGACCGACATGTCCATGTTAGTACATAGCTGAAAGAAGATGGAGATGCTCTCTGTCATGGGCATGGGAGAGTATGTGGAATATGAACCCGTGTCTGGATCACAGTGACCTAGCGCACACCATCGAGATTTGAATTTCCATTGTCCCAATCCTGGCATGGGCTTCTTTCTCCTGACGAATCGGGATGGAAGAACTCGATGCGGATGTTCTCGACGAATCTTCTTTGACTCAACTGGTCCAAGCACTTTGACTGCCTTGAGATCCAGAATGGTCTTCCACTCAGCCTCATCAGAGGCCTCAAATCCTTTCTTCTCATCTTCTGTGGCAAATCTCATATCGAACTCCTGGGACTTTGCCCTGACAGGTTTGGTCATCAGACATGAGTTTTCAATCTTGAGCTCGAAAAAGTTGAAACCCTGATCAGCTATCTCGGCCAACTGGAGGTCGTGAGTGATGAGGTCATTCTCTGAGGCTTCAGTAGAGGAGGGCAGCAAGGTTGCTGCTGAGCTAGGGTTAGTGTCAACTGGACCCGCTGATTCGGAGGAAGCCGAGGTCGTCGTATCCTTTCTCTCACTGACCTTTCTCATCTTTTCCTCGCGCTCGAGTCTCCGAAGGGTCTTGAGCGCTATCTTCTCAAGATTTGCCTGTTCTTGATCTTCTACTGTTCTCTTAACTCCATGAGGTCCTGACCCAGCAATGTTCTCCTCCACGATCTTCTTCTTGTTGGGGCTAGAGACTGAAATACTGTGCTCTGACTTCCTCTTGGAACCCATAGTGGACTCACTCGCGGCATCGGCAACGGAACTCTCATCACCTTCTGGTATCACTGGTCTGGGAACGGTTACCTGCCTGAGAGGAGGAATGTTGCTCTTCTGATGATGTCTGTTCTGGGATCTGCATGATCCTTGATTCCTCAAGAGTCGGGTTCTGGATCATGGGCTTGCCAATCTCTGTAGATGGTACTCTTCCGTCGCCCAGATCATCTGGAGTGCCCTCAGCGGTGACATCCACCGCGCCAGCTTTAGTGGATCTTCCCTGAGTAATGAGGTCCTGCAACTCACCTGATCTAGCCATGTCAGCCCCTATTGACTCATGGTGAGTGGCCGGCCTCAGCTGATCACTATTGCACTTCCACAGCCTCGCCCTCATCGACACCCACACTGTGTGGCCTGCCTGCAAGACGACCACGCCTGGGCCTGTCCATCGAGCTCTCGTCAAGTGCCCTTGTCCAGTCCCAGGAAATTTCCGCCAGACATATACCCATCGTCCAACGGCCCATTGTCTTTGTTTATGAGTTCTTTGTTTGATGCTGGACTTGATTCTGTCTCTGCACGCTGCTTCAATGCACAACTGTCTTGCCCTCTGACGGATCTGATGAGAGCGATTGTAAGCAGCGGTGGCGGTGTCTTGGTCAAAAGCATCACACTCAATCTCCTCCCAACCGAGTTCTTGCAAGGCATCATCTGAGAGAAGTTCCGTTGGAACTCGGGGATTGACCCCGAAAACACGCTGACATGGGCTGTAGCCACCTCTGGAGTACCATCTGTTCTTGCAGGAGACTGTCGCTAGAATAAGTTCTTCTAAGTCGTTGGGCTCTATGAGCACGGTCTGTCCGGAGTTGATCTCTAGCTCTGCTCTTTCCTTGACCCAGCCTCCGTGGCGCTCAACACGCCCATTCTGCCATGGTGATGCTGCGTCCGCGATGATCTGCAAAATGCCATGCTGTTCTGCTGCTCGCTCAAAATGTTGCTTGAACTCTGATCCACCGTCGCACACTACTGTCTCTGGTATGCCAAATGGTTGAATCCAGATTTTTGCAAACAGGGACCAGCTCTCCTTGGATGAGGGAACTCCTCCGTCATAGTTCCTCAACGCGCCAACTTGCTGAAAATTGGTCCCATGACAAACAGCGTTGAGAAAGGCAAAGGTCCGACCACCAAAGGACAAGTAGAAGAAGTCAAGACCTATGATGCGATTGAAGGAGAAGGTTCTGGGAATCGTCGCATGCCTTCGCTCCACGGGCTTTCTCTGTCTCATGCAATACGAACATTCGAACTTCTCTTTCACAAACTTCAAGACGCCCTCCCTGGCGCCTGCCGCCTTGAGCATGGAGAGCATCTGCTCTTTGGACAGGTGTCCCATGTTGAGATGCATCAGCTGAATCTTCTTCTTCTGCTCCTCGGACAGGCTGTCTGAGGAGTGTTTCTGCAGGGTGCCTGGTGTCCTAGGTTGATGCTCCACGTCTTCCTGAACTTCAACATCTTCATCCATCAAGTCATGATCTTCACCTGCCACACCGGAGAACTCTATCGAGCCAGCCAGTATCCCATCGATCAGTGTCTGAATCATATCCTCAGGATATACTTGGGCTTTCTTTGGCAAGCCGTTTTCAAGTGGTACGTGATGATGATCATGTCTGCACTGATATTGTGATAGGAGGATGATTGGTGGCGATGGAAGTTGTTTTCCTAGATCTACCCTCTGGGCTCACTTGCAGCCCCAGCTCACACTGGTCAAAGCAGAAAAAACGCACGTCTTTTTGACTGAGAAGCCACTGTGCCGCGTGTGTTTGCCACGACGAGGCACCAACGGGCTGCTCCAGGAAAAAGTGCTTCTTATTCTGCAGCTGGAAGTCGGCTACCTGCAAACATAGGTTCCACATGATGAGGGCCCTCATTTGATCTCTCGTCAACTTCTCGACGGGAATTCGAGCCAGGTTGACCTGCATGAGTTGGCTGAACATGCGACATTCTGGGCTCATAATTACGATGTCGGGCTTTTGCTCCCGAAGCACTCTCCACAAATCTTGTCGATGTTGATAGTTCAGCGCATCCCAACCCTCAGTGAGATCAAAATTGCTTGGCTCGGTGAGAAGCAAGTAGCAAGCCACAGCTCACTGCCTTGACAGAAACTCGAGGTGGCGAGAAGAGCTCCATCACCTTCGGAGGAGTCGGATTCCTCACCATCATGTCTCCATGGCTGCGCGGTCTAACGTCGGTGATCCCAAGGGCTCTAAGCTCTTGCGAGCTAGGTGTGTCCGAACGGATCGATCGAATCGGTCGGAAAACCGTTTCCCTGTTCACCCGCTCCCCTTCGGAGAGCGTAGCAGCAAAATGCTCCTGAACTCTTGATTGGCTCTCTGGCTCTTGAAGCGTTCTTGAAGGTCCATTGAACTCTTGAAGATTTTCTTGACGGCCTTCAGGCTCTTGAGATTTCTTCTTAGGCTCCTCTGAGCTCGCACACTCACTAGGGTTCTTTGACCCATGATCGAATTCCGTGGAGATTAGCTCAAGTGAATTCAACAGTAACTTCTTTTGCTTCTTGGTCAAATGTGTCTCTCTGCCCTCAGGGAAGTCACCACACACGAGATCATCCACCAACTCGGTGTCTCTAACAAGAAACATTGACCTAGATCCTTCATCAGTCCGTTTCGTACAAACAAAACAGTCCTGACAACCCCTGCGAGCGAGATATTTCTTAGAAGCTTTATTGCAAGGAAATAGAAGCCAGTTCTGAAGGCTAGAATCTGTACACTGAAGGGCCTGAGCTGACTTGCATGAGGTGAGACTCGTTCCGGCCGCGCTACTCAGCGGCCACCCATCTTCTCCGGGACCAACTCCTCGTCCTCCGGGGAAAGAGGATATCCCTGTGCCATTGCCCAGCTCTGAGCCATGCGGCGGTGCAGCTCTTCCTGACTCATCATGGGAAAGGCCGCACCTGGCTGACACGATGGATCGGTCTGTCGCATGATTTGCTGCTGGGCCAAGAACAGCTGCTGAATCTGCGTCTCCTGCCGCTCCTGAGCCCGCTGCATCTCCTCGGCTTGACAGCGTAGGACCTGATGAAACCCTTCCACCACTGGTGACATCACCTGCGACATGACCGCGGCAGTACTCTGAGTCAGCTGCTGTGTCTGACCTTGGAGCCGTGCCGCAGGCGGAGGATTGTCCTTGCTGTACTTCACATAGCTGGTCTTGGTCTGGCACAGAGAGCATCGAGTCCAAGTCCCGTGCTGATTCGCTCCCTTGACCTCGTACTCCTTCGGGTGCTGGCACGCTGGGAGCTTCGTCACTCCGCTCGAGTCGGCCCTCGATGGCGCGAAGTCGCCTGGATAGATGCTCTTGCCCAGCCGCTCCAGAGCCCTCGGTCCTCCATTCAGGATGATCATCTTCCGGGTGAAGTGATACCAGTGATTCTCCAGAGCCTCGCTGTCCGCCTCGGACCTGATGCGAGACTTCTTCACCCTGTTGGTCAGCAGACCCGCGGACGCCATGATGAAGCGAGGGAGGAGAGGATGAGTCGTAAGGCTTGTCGCGTTCGTGACGAACTTGGCTTGAGGCGACGTTCGGACGGCCAACTCCGATGCGACTGCACAAATGATACTTCAAATTCAACTGCAGAGGTTCGCTAGAGAACAAAGACACTATGTTGGAACATGACCAGTGCAAGCGTGTCGCTCCAAGCGGGCAATCAGTCACTTCCAAGACATGAGAAGTGAAATCACTGACGTTTGGTTCCTCACGTTTCGCGTTTCTCTCAAGAAGCCAAGCCATGCCGTCAAGAACCAACCACGTCGATCGAAAGCGAGCATCACGAAAATCCGAAGGAAAATCTTGAAACTCAACGAAGTTGCCTAAAACGTTCTGACTCAACCATCTGACCTCGCCTGCCTGCGACTCCTGAATTTGAAAAAACTGAAAAAGATGATCACGATCCCTAAAGAGCGCAGGAGGCGGCATGTATGCTCGGCGTGCTGACGGGCTCACATTGAAGGCGCCGGGACGGAGTCCCAGCTCCCTAGCAAGCTTCTCAGGAACTGGAAAATCTTCTCCGCTCCACTCGGCAACGTCCAAGGTTCTGTGACCTGACGGCAGTCGAGTCATGCGTGCTTCTGTACCAAACTTCCTAAAAAGAATCTTGTCCGTGCCCGTGTCAATGACAGCCTCACCATGCTCCAAAAGGCCTATGGACAGGAGTTGTGGCACGTCGTCCTCCACGACCGTCAGCTTGATGACTCCGGGCTGTCCGCCCAGAATGCAGGGTGACAATGCCATGAACAAGGTCTTGGCAGAGCCTCCCACGCCTGCAGCCTTTCCTGGAATCTCATCCAGCTTGATGGCTTGCAACCCGACTTGAGCCAACTTCTCCTGCAGCCTCTCGAAACTCGGGAGTCCGATGAGATCTTGTGATGCTCCGGGATCAACTATCGCTTGACCTGGATTGAGCTCAAGAAAACACGCTCCATCCACGGACTTGGTGCTGGACAGGGCCCCAAGGAAAAAGGCTGCTGAGCTCTTAGCCTCCTCAGAGATGCCCAGAAACACGAAGGCGTTGGTTCTGTTTCCCTTGTGATGATGTTGATGATGATGACTGCTCTCCTTGATGGGTTCTGAGCAGTCTTCACGCCAATGCCCTTTCTTGCCGCAGTTGCTGCAGAATGTGATCTTCTTCAACTCATCAATCGACAGCCGCCTCTTGTTGAAGGGTCTCGCAGGTCTCGACCCCCTGTCGTCAAAGTGCCTACGATCTTTCTTTCTGGCTGCCTTGAGAAGCTTGTTCTCCTTCCACGTTCGTCTCCTGTCCTGATGTAGCTCGGCCAGGAGTGCGACTGCTTCTTCTTCCACCACGCGCTCGTTCTCGATGGCCAGGAAGACCTCCTCGTCATCCTCCTCGAAGTCCGTCTCCGCATACTCAGGAATGTCTTCAAAGTAGTTGACCTTGCCGGGCTTGATCATACTCTCATCGTCGACGTCAAGAACATGAAGAGCCTTCTTCACCTCGGAGTATGAATGTTGTCCCTTCGTCAACACTCGAAGATTCTGCATCGTCTGTTTTGACAAGCCGGACTGCTCTTCCAGGAGGATGCCCTTCACATCATCTGGCAGAGTAATGTAGCGACTAGCCACTTCAAACTGAGATTCTCGTCGCAGGGCATATTGGGCAATGCTCTCATCCGACCTACGATTGCCCTCAAAGAGAGCTGCTCGGACTGCTCTTTTGCGCTCAGAATCCGCCTTCTCTCCTGCCAGAACATCGAGGACGGTGAGGATCTCTGTCAAGAAGGCTGGACTCGCCAAGTGGCCTCGGAAATGTGATCCAGTTTGGCTTGAAGGTCCCACTCCAAAGTGCGCAAAACTCGATCAGCTCGTCGCCACACTGCTATGTCGGTGTGATCATTCCATCGAACAATGGCTCTACGCCACAGCCGGTAGTTGCCCCATCCTGACCAGGAGGGCGGGTCACTGTAGTCACCCTTGTGGTAGTTCTGGTTGCCCCACCACCCGTCATACCGTCCTGGTTCATAAGGTGCTCCTGACATAGAAGTCCTCCGTGACCAAGGTCCATGCTAGGACGCTGCCATGGATCTGAGTGGTCTGCCCCGGTAGAAGGCATAGCCGAAGCGGGAATCCCCGTAGCTCCCACCTCGGAGTCCTTCTTCTCCCCAGAGGTGCGCCGCGTCCAGCTGGATTGCCAGCTGCTGCCCCACTGCCACCTCTTGTTCCACTCTGCCCACTCAGCGTCGCTCCATCTGTAGCCTTCCGTTTTGTCTCTCACTGCTGACGTCGTCCCCCCCTGTTCCTGCCTGCTGAACTCCTCCTTGTCATCATCCTCCACCACAGCTTCCCCTGGATCAGGCATAGTCTACCAGAGCTCCGGTTACCACTGTCTGTTTCTCAAGTGCCGTAGGGACGGACGATCTCGCTCTTTTCCACGACATGCACGAGCAAGTAAAGGGGGGAACTAACACCAACAGCTGGAGCCATCATGCGATCGAATCAAAAGGTGGTAACCTGAGACAAACGCTACTAGTAGCTCCTGGCATCACTAGTAGTAACAAGGACGCTACTAGTAGCTCCTGGCATCACTAGTAGTAACAAGAACGCTACTAGTAGCAAAGGGCATCGCTACTAGGAGCAAGGACACTACTAGTAGCTTCTGGCATTACTACTAGTAACAAAGCTACTGGTAGCAAAGGGTATCGCTACTAGGAGCAAGGACACCACTAGTAGCTCCTGGCATTACTACCAGTGACAAAAAGTCAATTTATTTTCTTGGCTCATGGCCCTGCCTCCTTACATACTAAAGTGGGCATCTAATTAATTAAGGGAGCAACCCCCAGCTACTTAAACTACTACCTAGGATGCAGGATAGCTCACGCTTCCTTGAAGAAACACGCACACTAGTGATTTGGTTCCTAGTTCTTGAGGGAAACTTAACATTTTGTCACGCAAGTGCAAGTTCAATGTCAATTGTTGAGCCCTCTCCGAACACTTGTAGAACAATTGCAAGCCTTTTTGCAAGTGAAATTAGTTGCTCGTTTGTATGCTCGTTGCAAGGAGCGTCTGAGATAAATCAAGTACGTCTCTCTTGTGGGAAGTGAAAGACCAGTTGCAGTTGGCGTGTTTTCTTGACAAATGGGTGGATATGTCGGAGAGTAGTCAGACGAACAAAAACGACTGTCCAATCAAGCGACCAAACACGTTTGTCTGTGTGACAGTGTTTGGAAGTGTTTCGTATCGCCCTAGGGGCTCCTGGCCTTACTACTAGGAGCAAGGAAGCTACTGGGGGCTCCTGGCCGTACTACTAGGAACAAGGACGCTACTAGGAGCAAAGGGCATCGCTACTAGGAGCAAGGACGCTACTAGGTCATCCTTGATGCTGACGCACTTGAGGTCCTGGCTGGAAAAATAACTGGTATAACATGCATGTGCTTGTGTTGTTGCAGCCTTCATGAGGCCTCCATTCCGGGATTTCGTGTGAAGCTTGGCATGTGTGGCACTTCTAGCGCTGGCAGAGGGCCTGTTCTGTTGGGGCACCCTGCTTGCATGACTGGGTCGATTTCTTTGCAAACAGAGTGGATGAAAATGGGTGGTGTTATGTAGCGTCCTTGCTCCTAGTAGCGATGCCAGGAGCCCCTAGTAGCATCCTTGCTCCTAGTGGATGAAAATGGGGTGGTGTTATGTGGTGTTTGTGATTCCAACCTGTGGGTTCTTGGCAACCTCCAGTTTGCACAAATGGATCCGGCTCCACGACCTTGCACTTGTAAACACCTCCAACCTACTAGCGATGGTCTCCAACCTCATAGCGAACAAAAACACGCATAAAAACCTTCACACAAAAACTACATACGTATCATTGCGAAACAACTGTGTGAAATACAGAAGTACGCAAAACCAAACCGCACCAAGAATCATTCGTCTCATGCGGTGTTGAGATCACTGAGCCAGAAACCCGCTGCAAAAGCACATTCCCCACAGGTGAGGAGACCTGGATGAGAGGTTTTTTTTTTTTTTTCAACACATCAGAAAACTCACTATTTCCAACACTCAGGCTTTGTGGCCTCCAAGTCGATATTGTTGTATTCCTCAAATGAGCGACGATGCCGATACGATAGTATATGAATCGGATAGATGGATTTCTTTTTGAATTGCTTCTTGTTACTACTAGTAAGGCACTTGTTACTAGTAGCGATGCACTTGTTACTACTTTTCTCTTTCTCCAAGGAACGAAAAGACCTAAGACTTCGGAGAAAAAGGCCGGCCTTGATGCGTCGATTCGAAAGAACAACGGTCACGATTTGGCAATCGGTTGTGAGTCGACTCCAAGTAACAAGGTTCGCTACTAGTAACAAGTGCATCGCTACTAGTAACACGTGCCTTACTAGTAGTAACAAGAAGCAAATGCTTTTTCTTTCTGAGATTCTCTTCTCTCAACGTATGAAGTGTAACAAATGCAGTAACAAGGGCATTAGTAGCTAGAAGCTACAGTAACTAGCAACGGCATTGCTACGGGAGGCTGAAGTGTCTCACGTCGTTGTCCCCACTTTCTTAGCCATGGGCCCAGCTTGGAAGAGAGCGGAGACCTGCCGAATGGAAGGACGCTACTAGGAGCAAGTGCCACGCTAGTAATAACAAGTGCCTTACTAGTAGTAACAAAGAAGCTAGTAA